GCACAGGTTCTGCAAAATGTGGATGGGTAGCCTTCCAACGATCTCATGAAAACACGCAGCTATATTACCGTCTGGAATGTTTTCTTTTTCTCCAGGAAAGTGTTTTCTAGAAAAACAAACGAAAACACATTTAAATGGGAAACAAAACGTTTGCTGCTCTGATCATCAACAGCATCACTTTTCTCCTTAACAGAGGGCGTAAGCTGAACAGAAGTTTGGGGTTTATATGATCACAACATTAAATCAAAACGCCATTCATGAGGCTCTTGGAAATTGGAAGTACCACAAAAGTATACAGAAATAAAAATTAACTGTATGTATCTAGAGTAAAATTTTCATAATTCATAATTTTAAAAGGAAACAAGACCAGAGAAAATGGGTAAACATCACTCCCTCCTGCCTCAGCCCCACCGAGAGTCCCTGACTGTTCCCACTGTGCCGTCATCGTCACTCCAGACGCCAACACCTGGTCACGCAGAATCAGCGCTGCAGTCAGGAGGCTGCCACTCGGCGAGTGACACGACCGCAGGCAAAGTGTTCAACTCTCGAGCAGCATCAATTTCTCCACCTGTGCGTCTGAACTCAGCACACACCCTCGGGACTACTCTGAAGTTTCAACGTGATGATGAAAGTGCAGCAACCAACGTGGGCCCGGGTGGGGGTGATGTGGATGTTCCCTCACGAGAACTTACCAAACCGCACTTACGTATTTCTGTGTCTGCCCAGATACACACTGTATTTTACAGTGAACGCCTTTCCCAACAGAGCTGCACAAGAGTTTGGTGGCCAATGCCCCAGCAGGTCACTCTAGGTCCTGCATTAACTGTCTGTCCTGGAGGCCTCTGGACTCCTTGCCTTCCGTCTCATCTGCCCTGTCACGTGTGTCAGCTACCTCAAGTCGCCTCCCCGTTTTCGGGGACACTCTCGTTCTCTCAGGATGAGGTCCCTCAATTGCAGTGGAGACCATCTACCCAGTGCCCAGCTTTTCCTCCCCAGATCACTGCTGACTCACACACACTCTCCCCTTCAAGCTCTAATCATATCTCCGCATTAGGTTTGTTTGCTTGCACCCCAGCTCCACGTGACTGCTCTCTCCATTGGACTCTCAGGTCTCTGTCTGATGTTCACCTTTCACTCTCTTCCTCTGGGAGGTGATGGGACTGGCCACCTGGACAACTCTGAACACCTACCCTTCCAGAGGATGCAGGACAGCAGACATTTGCCTGGAGTCCCCGGTGTCTGTGGATTCCTTTCAAGCAGGGCGGCCGGCGCACACCAGGCCAGACAGAGAGCAGCACTGTCTCAAGGAGCTGGAAGTCGACAGTCTCCATCCAGGGAGCCCTCGCCTACCTAGGGCATCATTCTTCCCCTTCGTGGCGTCTCTATTTTATCTGCATAAGCTATTTTGATAACACTTTTTTATTCTCTTTGAAGAGATGTTCTCAGCATTAACAAACTTCCAATTGTAAAACAAAAGTATTTTAATATATAGTTTTTCTTTTAATGTTAATCATGTTTGTAAGCTTAGAAAATATGAAAAATCTTTATTAGAAAGAAGGCGGCAAAGTAGTGGCTTCTGTTTTAGGGGTAATCCCTCCTCCTCTAAGGCCAGTGATGTTACTTAATGACAGAGCTTCAAAAATGCAAAACATCAATAAGACTTAAGGAGGATGAGCCTGTCATTATATTCAAGCTGACATGACAACAACAGACGTCAGTGACGACTGCTTGGGGTCCGGGCTGGTGGACACAGGGCCGGTCCCCGACTTACCAACAGGCGCACATCGCCTCACACGTGGTGCCCGAGCGCCCCGCTGTCGCCGTCTCCGCCCTGCATCTGCATCTGCATCTGCGCCTGCATCCTGGCGATCATCTCTTGCATGCGGCGGAGCTACGGACACAGGACGCGTTGGACACATTACTGGTTTTCACGGTTTGCTGTCTTTCAACGTTACTTATGGCTGTTCTATAATTCCTAAAATCTTAGCTTTTACACTTTCCCAAAACACGACAAAGAGTTAATATACAAGGAATTTTTACAAATCAATAAAAGAACCAATAACTCCATAGAAAACCAAGTAAACAATAAAAACATGCAATTCAAATAAGAAAAAAATTCTCAGAAACAGAAGCAACAATCAAGGAAAAGCAAATGAGACGTTTTTTAACTGAGAATGTGGGAGAGCGACTGACCGCGCTCGATGGGGACTGGGAGGAAAGGCGAACGGATGACTCGGCCTCTGGAGGCAGCGAGGTTCTGACCATGGGAACAGCGAGCCTTTCTCTGTCTTCATCCGCACCAATTGTTATCACTGCGGTTTGTTCAGAAAGGCCTCCGATTTTTCTTCAGTGAATTTGTGGTTATGTTTTTAACATTTAAATATTTGATCTGTGTTCAATTAATCTGACCAAAGAAGTGGGTTATTTTTTTGTTTCCAGAAGGCTGGCCCATGATGCTCATGTAATTCACCAAGTGCTCTGTCTGCATCCACAACTCTAGCAGGTCTGAGCGCCACCTTTGAGACAGAGCCGTTTCCACATTTCTGATCTACTTCCGGACACCTATCTGGTCAGCCTATGAGGCCTGTACGCACGATGCGGATGACCACTGTGCTCTAACATTTTTGTGACCAGTAGTGTAAGCCTCTTTTCAATAATTCCTGTTTCTCACGCTTATTCTTCAAAATAAGCATTATTTTATCAAACTCTCCCCTAAAAGAGGAAACTCAGCAAACACATACAACTCTGCTATGATTTTTGGATTGCACTACTCGATTTAGAGAACTGTGGTCCTTGTAGTAAGTCTTCCTACACACAAAGTTTTGTGT